AGGTAGAAAGAGTAAAGGAGTGTAATGCAGAGTGCACAGACACTTATTACCTTAATGATTTTGACCCAGACGCCCTGGCTGTTGCGATATTCCTCCCCCGTTGTCCGGATACACGTCCCTTTCTTTGGTTCAATGTTGTACTTGCATAACTTCTTCATGTGTGGAGTTTGGTGTGGAGTCTCAAACACGGAGATGAGCGTCTTCCCGGCGGTGGAGCCTCCTGCAGACGCTCCGGAGGAGGCCGAGGCGGCGGACGACGAGTCCTTGCAGATCTTGTAGCACACCTCTTTGGGGACGTAGCACAGACACTCCGGCACCGGCTCGCTCTTCTTGAAACACTCAATGCACCTGTTCAGGAAGCGGATCCTTCCGAGCAGCAGGTGGGGGTTGTCGCCCAGAGACATGGTGATGATGAGGAGGAGGAGGGTGAGGGTGAAGGTGGTGGCTCAGCAGCTCTGCAGCAGGGGGGCGTCAGCTGGCATTACACCTCTGTCCGGGCCTTTTGTTTTCCTGCCTGGTTGCGAGGGGATGCTGCAAAAAAACAAACCCAAACAAACCAAAACAAAAGCGAATATTCGTGAGGAACAACAGGAGAGAGAGTCGATAAACAGCCAACACAGCGCACTAATGTGACTCCTCCAGCTCCTGTTTTAACTGGGTGTGTAACAGAGTCTGAAAGGTCAATACATCCTCTTATCAGCGAGCAACACTTCGCTGACTCAGTAAGAAAAAAGTATCGATCCCTCTGAACCGATACCGTGAGCTAACGTTAGCGTGCAGGCTAGCTGCGACTGCCACGTTCATTTTAAAGGCGACGTTAAAGAGATACACACTGTTTAATGCGCTAAGAGCCGGGGGGGGGGTCTTTGAAGAGGAGCTGTCAACGTACCCTCGCTGCCGACAGCTGGTAGAAAGGTTTCAAACTCAACTATCGGTGCGGATTTCTGTGGATAATGTGACAACGCGGAAGCGCAGAAGACACTTTTGACCCTCTGGAACTTCCGTCGTTCGTACTTCAAAATAAAAGTCTGAACGTTGGATTCGTAAATCCTTCATTCCACGTGTTTAAAACATTGTGTCGTTTCACTTGTACACAGCTGTATTAAAGCTGGATTTTACCCAGAATAAAACTGATTTAATGTGATTGCACAGAATAAACTAGAGCTTTTGTTTTATGCTCTTACTGGTGTCCAGGCAGAGCAGCCACACTGCAGTCTGCACTGG